CAGTTATTTGAATTACTCTATCAAAAATGCATAAAAATTCCAACCAGTTATATGTGTGTTACATAATTTTAGCCAAGGTAGATATTTAACTGCAGTAGATAAAAATTCATTTGCTTTGCTGGTGTGGCTGACATTTATCTGTTTCTGAAAAAGTCTCTTCTTTTTTCAATGAACTATATTCTCTGTTAATTTCAGAAGGAGCCCTCTTGTTTTTAGTAAAAGATGTAAATTAAATTCAGTGTCTTTTTTTATCCTTAGAACATATCCGTAGGCCATCTAGGCAACAAGTATTATCAACTACATTTTGCTGAAAGATGAAATTGGATTTTATAAGCTCCTTGAAAATCATGACATGTGGAGTTACCTGCCTTAGTGGATAGTTAAGCTCTCATACTCCAAAGTCGAATGGATTTTTGTCTTCTTTCCTTTACCTTGAAACTCTCCTTGGTATCGCCAGAACCAAGGTTTACGAGAGAGTCCTTGTGTAGGAGGTGAAGAATCAGATAGTGTTAGGGACTAAACAAAGTCCTTCCGTATCCTTCTCAGTTCTCTAGACCATGTGTTGTGGGAGTCTGCTTATGATAGACACTTTGAATCGAATGTTTTGTCACTGACAAAGATAGAAATGCAGAAACCACAAAAATTATAGCTAAAAACAATTATTCAAAGGAAGACATTTAAAAAGGAAAATCTTTGTCTCTACCTCTGCACAGTCCAGTGCAGTGCTTCCTTTCTTGAATATATATTTTTCAATCACACATGGCCGTATTTGAGGCCTTTTTTTTTTGAGTAAGTGAAAGAATTCAAATTGAGTTCTCACTGGCTGTCTTCATATATTTATGAAACCCAGGGATCTAAGCAGGAGTGAAAGGATGCATGTGAACTGGTTGTCTACTTCGGAATCCTTTCCTTTTGAAATCCTGATTAGAAATGTCTCACTGTTAATTTAAACTGAAAATCTGTGAGTTTCTGGCCTGTGGCATCCACTACAGCCCTTTTCCCTCCATTCACAAAACACTATCTTCAGAAATGATCATAATTCTATTTTTTCCTTTAAAAATGTCTATACTTTTAACTGTACAGTGTGTCGCTTCTACATTTTCATAGCTTCTAAGTTGATGTCACAGAGGCTGTATGCCTGGCTTGTCTATGTGACCCCAATTTATTCCACATAGTCTGTTCTCTGTTCACACTTGACTGATGAAAAAGAAAATAATGCTATTACTTGATAACTTGCTGCATTTAGAAATTTCAGATATATGGATGGGCTAAGGTTCCAAGGACAAGTTGCATAAACTGTACTCATGAAAGTACACTGCTGAGATTGTCTTTGAAAGTATGTAGCTTAGAATAAAGGGGCTGATTTTGCCATGGTAGTAAAATTGCAGTAGCTCAGCTCCTGCAGCTTTGATTGCTGCTTACAACTTCAGAGCTCAGATGTTAGAAAATGTAGGAGCTATAGATCATGGTGTGTTTAGAAGACACATACTAAAAGGAAAAAGAGCTCAGATCACCACTTGTATACAACGTAACATTCTTTTATTTATTTATTTATTTATTTATTTATTTATTTATTTATTTATTCATTCATTCATTCACTTATTTATGTTTTAAATTGGGCTTTCTATAACCACAGGCAGGCAAGCAATTGAAAGGCATAGAGATTGTATAATTTGATATAAAACTTCTTTACTTGCTAAGAATAGAAACAATTTTTATTGAAGCAGGACAGCTCGATATTACATTACATAATACCATAACTCACACAATAAGCCAATTTCAACTTAAGGAATTAGTTTTGCATACGCCTGGCTATTAGTATCAACTGCCAGAGGACCGATGCATTTCATTACTTTTGTTTTCCTCTGTTGGGGTTTATTGTAGTGTGATTTCTGCACACGAGGTCTTGTCAGAGTAGGAAAATAGTGAATGGCGCAACAGATTTCTCTGAGTAGTTTAAGAACGACAAAATTCAACTCTGACCTCAATGGGACCTCAATGGGGGACTCTCATATCAGGTTTTCTGTTTAACCTCCCTTGACTTCTTTCATTACCAAGAGTTTGGTGATCAGCAAGAGGACCTTGGAAAGCTACCCCTTCCAGCCTGTCCGTGGTATAACATGTCAGGAGATGCACATGAGCAAACTAATCAGCAACAAGATTAGCTACAGGAAATAATAATTTCTTGATCCTGAGTTTCTCAGAACTGAAAAGCGTCTTGTGACTAGGCAATTAGGATCAGAAGTGTGTCATTTGGCTAAAAATTCCACAGTGACAATCACCCTTCCCCTCTGTAAACCCCTAAAACAGCCTCCTGGCAAGATGATCTTTAGATAGAGACTCTAGACTGTCAGCACTTCCCCATCACTAGGCTTATCATCATAAATTGCTTTTTATACCAGAATCCAGTATGATGAATTAGCTTCTATCCTGTGGCGAAACAGACCAGGACTTTTGCATGGAAAGAATACTGAGGTAAGTAGAAAACAACACTTCCTTATTGGAGGGAGGAAGCAAACCAGCCAGAGTGGAGTAGGAGGCATGGGGGAGAGGGCACTGGAGGAGGGGGATGAATGAGAACAAAATATGCAGTGATAAAACTCATTACTTTATGCTAAGCTAAAAAAAAATCAATTAACGTATATCTTTAAAAACAGGTTCCCCTTGGGGAATGGCTATTTAAATTATTTTAATTTTCATTTATTTATTTTAATTGTGTTCCTGGGAGAAGAGAATTACTTAGTAGCAAAGACACTCAGTTCTTGGTTGGACTCTTTATTTTGCTCACTCATTTCAAATAAGCTTTCAATTTTTTTTATTGTTAAAAACTGTACTGCTATTTGGTGATGTTACTATGGTAACCAAGCCTTGGCAAACAACCATGAGTGCTGCCCAAATAGTACACAAAAATCAGAAAATAGAACAATAATGCAAGTCCAGTGAAATGCCCCCATTGTCACCTATGGAACTTTCAAACAACTAGTTGAAGAATGAAGAGATGGAAAAGATGGAGAAATATAGGGTATCAGCTTGAATGGAGACTAGAACAAAGGCATTGAGATAAAACTGGCGCCCACTGAAAGTTCTTTTCTGAGAAGCAACCATGGTACTTTTAAAGTTAAACTCAAAGCAATCAGAGAGCTTATGCTTGCTGTGGTGGCATGGGTAATTGAGAAAGCAATTCTGGTAGACTGCCTGTTTAATTGGCCAGGTTGAGAGTGGGGGCCAGGGAAGGAGAGCAAATACCCAAGTCACAATTGGTACAGATTCGTTGTTAAAGCTACATTCTAGTGATAACGTATCCATACAGGATGCATTTATGTGTAGCAGTGTTTCTCAGCCTCCTCATATCCTTTTTCTTGGTGCAGGGTCTCTTGAGAGAAGGCTTTAGCACATGATTGCTTTTTACCAAATAGAGTTCCCTAGGAGAAGCTCTGTTTATTGTGTCTCCTGTGTATTCACTGAATCCATTCTTTACTGTCTTTACTGAGCAACAATTTTCAGTTTGCATTCTTGTCACCCTTTTTCTTGATGGCAGTTGCTTCCAGCATTTCCTCTGAAGTCCCTCCTTCTATCCCTTGTTGGCAAAGTGAATGTTCTATAATGCTAGATTGATCATGTCACTGACTTCTAATCTTTTAATAGCTTCTGACCACTTCTGGGAACACATCCTTGCTTTTCCTTTCATGATAAGTCCCTGACTACTTATAGCCATGTTATTTGCCCTATACCATTAACCAACCTACCAGTTCCTGAAGGCATTGTCTACCACCCCAGTCTGCCATCCCTCCAGCTAGCAAGCAAGCAGAGAGTGGTTAGGAAAGGAAACAATTTAGTTGGTTGGCTTTTGAACTCATTTATTGAAATGAGAACTGTCAGGAAATCCTTTCTGCCTCCATTTGCTGTTCTAGTTACACAAATAATGTTTTTCCCTTTCTCAATTTTATCAGGAAACTCATTTCTATTTGGTAAAACACATTCAGATTTATTGACAAAATTTTACTCTTTTAGGAATAGTTGTATGAATCAGCAAAACTATTAACATTTATTTTTCAGAAAAGTACTATCATGAGTTTGCAATATTAAAAAAAAGTCCAATCAAAATTCCAATAACTAGGAAGCTCATTCAAGGTATAGGCAACACTGACCTATATCTGAAAGTTCCAGCAGAGGTGTCTACAATGAACTGGTAGTGGGGAAGTGAGAAAAATGACATTATCCCATAATTATTGGGGAAAATTCATATCCGAAGAACATGTACTCTAGGTAACATCCAGATAGCTCCTCTATATGGAATTAGAGAAAGTCAGATGGAATAACTGTTTTATTGATGGCAGGCCAGTTCTGATGTTTCAAAAAGCATGAATTAGAGTTAGCTTATAGAAATAAGATATTGAAAATGGGGAGATTCTGGCAACTTGTAGCTCTTAACCTCAAAAAGAACTTCACTTAGACTAATGCAGTGATGTAAAAATGTGAGTATGAATCATAGGTCTTGATGAATTGGTGAATTCCACATTCTGAGTTTCATAACAAATTTAGGATAATGCCTTCGAGAATGTAATTCTACTGAGGTCTTTGATGGTGATGGTACTGTTGATCTGGGGTTAGACTTAGAGAATCACTGGGCTAAATTATAAAAAAAGAGTACATTCTATTTTCATGAACAAAGTGTATAATTATAAACTGGGTATAACTCTTTTAATTACAATGTGAGTTCTGTATTTACTGATAGGAAATGGTTACAAAACACTATGTATAAAGAGAGATAATATCTTTTATTTCAGCAAAATTAAATAATATCTTTTCCTTAAAAGAAAAAAAAATACTCAGAATGGTAAAACCAAGAAAGACTTGTTGAAAATTTCAAAAGCACTTGAGGATAGGTTGCACAAATGATGTAGTTTAATGCTTATGTATAATTAATACTTGCTCATAAAAACAATCCTGTTCAAAATAAAAAAATCCTCATGAAAACACATACTACTTTGAACCCAGGGTGTAGCATCTTTTCAGTTGTCTAATACATAAACAGTAACAAGGCCCTCAGATAATACCAGAATTAAGGCACAGACTGTTGCTGAGAATTACAATAATAGTAATAAAATAAGAAGATTATTTTTCTTGGGAAAAGGGAATAAAATAAGATAAAATGGGAATTAAAGTATCGAACAGTTTTTATTATGTCTCAGTAAATCACACTTTAACAAGAATCTTGTTTTTGATAGCAATGAAATTGGTACTAGAATAAATTAACATTCACTTTTTAAAGATTTGTTTTATTTTTAATTATGTATACCTGTGTATTTATATGTAAGGATGTGCATATATGAGCAGGTGCCTGCAGAGCCCAGAAGAGTATGTCAGTTCCCCCAGTGCTGGAGTTCCAGGCGGCTGTGGGCAGCCACACGTTGGTGCTGGGATCTGAACTCTGATCCTCTATAGAGCAGTACTTGCTTTTAACTACTGCGTCACCTCTCCAGCCCTGACGTTCTTTTAGTTTTGCTTTTTTAAAAGTAGTATTAGAGTATGTCCTGACATGAATACACATTAAGCTCATGTGTGTTCTTTTGAACCTACCTTTTGAAATACTGTAAAACAATTTTTTTTTTTTGGTTTTTTTTTTGAGACGAAGTCTCCCTGTAGCCGCAGCTGGCCTGGATTTACTAATGGAGACCAGGCTGGCCTCGAACTCACAGCGATCCACCTGCCTCTGCTCCCCGAGTGCTGGGATTGGAATATTGTAAAATATTTTGAATGTCCATATTATGACGATCTTTATGTAGTATATTGGGTTTCTCCAGAGAAGCAGAACCAGCATGTATTTGCTATAATTCCTGTGAAATATTGGCTGTTGAGATGATGGAACTTGAGAAGCAGAAGAATCTACCACAAATACACTGAAGTTCTAGGGAAGATACTGATGTGAGTCAGAGACCCAAGGGCCAAGAGACCCAAGAGAATTGTGGTTAAATTCTGCTCCCAAGCTGAGTGTCTGAGAATCAGTAGTGCTGGGGCAAGAGATGATGTCCTAACTTAATAGTCATACAGAGGTGCATATGAATAGAGCCACTTTTTAAATTCTCCTTGAGACCATCCACATTGGGTAGGGCCATCTTCTTTACTCAGGTCACCAGTTCAAATGCAACTTTTTTGGAAATATCCTCACAGATGTTCTCAAGAATGTATAGGTATTGTGTGGCCAGTCAAGTTTATACATAATTTACCATCACACACAGATGAACATGTTCTTTGCTAAAACAAGAACATGTACCGATATTTTGTAAATGTTTTCAGTTGTAGGGATAAGATGAAAATGAGTTTTTCTAGGTGACTTGAATTAAGAAACATAAGTTAATCAGAGCACCTTATTCTCTGAGTTTTGCCATCTCCCTGATATATGAAGATGAAATTATCTGTCTTCAAAGCTTTTGGAGTATTTCCAAATCTGATAATAAGGTATGTTGAGGTGCTCCAAACAGTCGTTCCCACAGACCACGGTGAGATGTGTATCGAAGCCATTGTAACCCACTGAGATAATTGTATAGATGTTGAATTCTGAAAAGAAACACAATCATCATATAAAGTAAGTTAAAAATCAAAATGGGTACCTTTATTATATTTGGAAACATTTAGAACTTATATAATATGGTTGTGCAGAAATTAAACCAATAATGCCTCAAACAAAGATGACAATAATATTCAATAGTATTGAGATTCTCTTTATTATAGTAAAGTGTTCTTAGTTTTTTTGATGTTGTTTTGTTTGTTTGGTTTTTGAGACAGAGTCTTCCTGCAGCCCAGCTGGCCTGGAACTCACGAGTAGACCAGGCTTGTCTCAGTCTCAGAGATTCACCTGCCTCTGCCTCCCAAGTGCTGGCACGAAAGGCGTGTGCCATCCCTCCCAGTCTAAGTGTTTTTATTTATATTTGATTCATGCTATCACCAGAGTTGGTGTATGACCTAGGTCATTTGCGTTGCTGGAAATATTTTTAGTTAAGAGAGTTCACTCTAACATATTGCAAACACTCAATGTATAGAAACTAAATGAAATTATTTATTACAGATCAGAACATTAATTTATGGGCATAGAAATTCTACGAAATCTCATGACTAATCAAAAATATGTATTTGAAGTGATTTGCTGTTGTAAATTCAGCCTTTTGGAACTTCCTACCTTTTTTTCTAGTTTCAGTATTAGACTGCTCTGTTGCTTAATTCCCACTATAATTAATTAATTTATAAATAATGTATACCTCATCATCTCCCAAGAAAGGATTTAAGGAGGCTGCATTTAACTAGGAAACTACCATAAATTTATAATGAGATGGATTTCATACTCTCTCTTCAGTGTCTGGAAGGTCATTCTTCTTTGCACAGGAAAATAGAGCAGCGGCTTCTTCCTTCTCTGCCTGCTTCACAGTCGGGTGGAAGGTTTGAGCAATACTAGTCCTTAGGGATACAGGTCAGGTTCAAATTCTCCTTCTTCCACATGAGGCAAAGAATGTAATCTTTCTGTACCCACTTTCTATCTTTAAAATGTGGATATTGACTATTATCTCCAAATGTTTAGAAGATGAATCTTTACACATAGCATTTTAGAAGGAAGTACTATCATATTGTTAACCATAGATATACCTTTCTGTTCAATCAAAACCACATTTCTTCCAAGATGCTGTACATACCTCCTTAAACTAGTCCTCATGCTGTGTTATAATAGGAGCCTGCACTTTCCCCATGACACTAATGATTTTTCATTGGTATTTAAGTCTTTCAACCTGTGTCTCCCAGAAAGCTTGTAATTTGTCTGGCTAGCTCAGTACTCTTTCTCTGATCTCTAATTGATGTCCAGGGTGAAGCAGTTATTCAGTAACTATTGAATGAATGCATTCAAAGACCTTTCTGTAAAAATGGTAACTGATTGGTCTACAGCTCATGTATTTAGTGTCTTCAGCAATAGTGTCTTACCATGAAGTTTTGGTGAGTAGCCAAGAGCAGGGGCAATGGCCAATAGTGTGTGAGGGTGTATAGGACCCCTGGTCAATAGCTTCAAAAGGAGTTCATTTATGGCATTGGGCATTTTTTGTTACCTGATGGTGTCTAGTAGAGGCAATGTCCTCCTGTTATAAGGTGACTCCTTTAATCTTTTTTTTATAATGCATAGATATATACTTTAAGATGCTTCTATAGTGATAGGCTTCCATTTATAGTGGTAGGCTTCCATATGGATTTTTCTAAAAGGCCTTTGGTGTTAGCTATCCCTCCCCATAACTCCTCCCTTGCCCTGCCCGCCCATTCCCCACCCCATTTAGCTCTTTCTAGTTTATTATTCCCTTTTCTCCTTTATATCACTACCATCTATCACTCCTCCCATGAAGCCGCCTCCCTCCCTTCATGGCAGTTTATTAGTTTCCTGGCTTCTCTGGATTTTTCAAATTGGAAATATCCAGGATTTCAAAGCTGGCATCCAACTATGAGAGAGAACATATGATATTTGTCTGTCTGAGTCCAGGTTACTTCCTCAGGATGATTGTTTTCAGTTCTGTCCACTTACCTGTAAATTTAATAATTTCATTTTTAAGAGCTGAATATATTCCATTATGTATGTTCACCACACCTTCATTATCCATTCATAAGTGGGTGGATATTTACATTGTTACATAAGCTGTAGAACAAACAGGAGAAATCAAGCTTATACTGACTTCAGTCTCATCTCTGCTAACTAGCTTTCATAGTGATGTAAGGTGCTATGCATGCTGCCGGAAGGAAAAAATAGTCATCAACCTTACTCAGCTGTGAATCCTGTGAACCACAACAAAAACAGTAAGATATGCCTGCTGGTATAGGGTGGCATTAATATCATGGGAGTAACCAACCACGTTCTAATTGGATTTAAGTTTCCACTTTATAGGATGGAGTCCATTCCTGACACTGATTTCAGGCTTAGGAACTTGAGGTTAGACAGGTCACAGGGCATAGGGGAGAGCGTAATACTAGTTTTCTACTAAATATTTGTAGTATTAAACTGACTACTAATGATTTATTGTTATACTCACTGATTAATGCATCTCGTGACTCTCATAAGGAACATTTGGCAACTGATGGCTGCTTGGAGTCATTCTCTTTCAAATATGTGACTCTTGGTAGGTTAGCCAGGCTCCGTTGGATGGACCCACACTGAAGAACATTTGGAGATACAAGTTAGTCTATAGTCCATATAATACCTTACCTTATATATGTGTGTGTAGGTAAGGATAGGGGAAGAGATCAAAATACCATCAAATTACATTGTATGAAAACTGAAAAAATTCATTAAAAATTTAAAAAGTAATTTAAATGGGATTAACCAGCAATTACTTTGTTTTGAAATTTATTTTCAAGTTTTTGATAGTGAATATGTGTTCCTTTATGCACCATTTTAAGTTACTATAGTAAGACAGTCAAGGGGCTGAAGGTTGTAATTCACATTTGGTATATTTGTATGTGTGTATGTGTTCTTGTATGTGTGAGTGCACATGCATATACATGTATGCAGAGGTCAACTTCAGGTGTTTTTCTTCAGGAGCTGTCCATCTTGTTTTACTTAATTATTATTTTGTTTGTATGTATGTGCATGCACATGTGTGTATGTATGTGCTTGTTTGCAGGTGTGTGTATGTGGGGGGGGGCTTATAGACCAGAGGTTGACTTGGGATGCCTTCCTTGATTACTTTCTATCTTACATATTGAGGCAGGGTCTCTTACTGAGCAGGGAGCTTGCCAATTGTATTGGTCTGGCTAGCCAGCTTGCCCTGGGGATCTCTTATCTTCACTTCCTGAGTGCTGGGATTACAGGTGGCCTCAACGTCTACTCACATTTACATGGGCACTGAGATCCCAACACAGCTCCTCATGTTTATTGGGCAAGCACTTAATCAACTCAGACATATCCCCAGTTCCCAGCTTGTTCTTTAAGACAGGATTTCTCATTGGCCTGGAGCTCACTGAGTGGGTTAGACTTGCTTCCCACCACCATTTCTCAGGGGTTCATCTGTTCTTTGTCTTGTCTCTCCAGTTCTGGGATTACAAGTAATGCATACCATCATGTCTGGTTTTTTTTTTAATATGGGTTGTGAGGATCAAATTCAGGTCCTCCTGCTTATATAGAACGCCCTTTACTGATGGAGCTCTTTCCTTAGCCTTTAACATTTTATTTTTTGGGGAATATTAGAGTCAATAAGTGGTTTTCAAATAGAGGTAATTTTGTAAGATATTGCCACCCAAGAGATGTTGGAGACAATTTTATCATCACAACTGGGAAACTGCTACTAGAAACTAGTGAACAGAGACCAGGAATGCACAAATAGCTCTTTTCCCATGAAAATCAAGTCTGAAAAATTAACAATGTTAAGGTTAAGAAACCCTGGCATACATAGATGTAACTTTGTAAAATAAACTGCTGTAACTTCCGAAATTGACTAAGATGTTAAATATAGGACAACAAAATTTGAAAGTTAATTAATAAAATTTATTGTGATAAGTGATTTGCTTTTTGGTATAATTTTCTAATAGTTAAGTAGAAATAAGTATTTAAGGAGGCTTAGTTTCCAATAATTCCTATGTTAGAAGAGGCGTTTATAATATATAGTAGATTTTTCTCTTTATAACCAATGGAGTGATTCTAAAAGTGCCAATTGACTGTTTGTGTACTTGTAAACAACCAGTTGGACAGATTCTAAAAAGAGCAGTTAATATATCAACCTAGCCAAAACTATTTGGCAGAATATAAATAACCACATTACTTGTAGACTGTTGATTTGTGGCGCTAGATGAATAAAGTAGAAATAAGACAGAGATACTGCTCCTGAAGCTTAGTCTATTTGAATGTAACATCTGGACTAGTGACCAGGTTATGCTGCAGTAACAAGATCTCAGTGGTCTGATACAACAAAGGTTTGTGTCTTCTTCAGAGTCAAATGTGCATATGTGTGACTCTTGCTGACAGATTATCTCTGTGTGACAATTTGGCAAACAGACTGAGGAAGTGGTACCATCCTGGAACTGCACTCTTTGGAACAGATGGCTGTGCTAGTTGGAGTGGGAGGGAAAAAAAGAAGGGGTAATTTCATGTTGTTCATCAAGACTTGTATCTGGAATTTGTCTAAGTAACATCCAGTAATATTTTGTTGCCCTTGAAAAATCAAATGACCATGCCTAGGTTCAGGAACACAGAGAAGTTTAATCTTTCCTTGTTGTAGCAGAGAAATAGAAATATTCCTGAATATGAACACTATTTGTTACAGCCAGATTTAGTATTTGCTTACCTCTATCTATGGCTGCTTGTATGACTCTTAAGGAAGGGAGTTTGCTAAGTACGCATATGCCGTATCTCACACAGAGTCACCCGCCTGTCATAGAAATACACTTAGTGTATTTCTAATATACTTCTAAATGTTCGAATTTCTCTGTAAAATCTTTATAAGTTGCTACGGCCTCTGGTTTCTCAGTAAGGTAGCATATTCCACAGAGTACTGGATGCTAAAGGCAAAGATGTTGGCCTTCTCATTTATATAATGGTGGGTGATCAAAACATTGTATTCTCTGGTAAAATAAATTATGATACCTCAGAAAAATGATTAATTTTAGGGTAAAATAAAGGGACATCAATGAAATCTTGCAATGGTTGCAGATTGCTTTTAAGCTACATCCCAGACAAAATCATTTCCTCTGCTATAAGAATGCTTTACTGGGCAGCTTTGAGAAGCACAGCTTGTGTACCTAATTTGGATTCAACTTTGAATTAGGTATTTTCTTAGCTGTCTTCAGTTTGATGGAAATGATCACATCATCATGTTTTCAACAACAGCACTTCTCCAGGAACCTATTATTATATACATCATGGAAATAAGGGTTTCTTTTACAAAATGAAATTCATTATTTCTATTCTGTATCTTACTAGCTGCTTGATAAGAGAAACTGGATAATTCAACTGATTCCTGTGTTCACTATTCTGGGCCTCTGCATGGAGCTGAGACAAGGTATCAAACTACACCCACTATCCTTATCTTGCAATGTGTCCATGATTTATATTACTACAACCATACGGAATTCAGTCATTAATTCATCAAAAAACTTTCGGACTCCATATGTTACTAACATCATGCTGGATGCTAGGGATTAGGACAAGATGAACGAGCCTGCTCCCCCCTTCGCGGATCTATAGTAGAGTATGGCTACAAGGAGGGTGGAGAAATAGTTCATTCATTTCACATATTTGTATTTATCTGTGAGATGAGACAGACACCAGGCAACAGTATAGTGAATGAGAGGCAGTAGAGTGTAATATTTAAGACAAGTGTTTTGGCAGCTGGACTGTCTGGAATCAGATTGCATTGTGGGGGTTTATAGATGAGCTTAAGAGAGCTCATGCCCCAGTTTCCTCACCTTAAAATTGGGATGATACAAATTTTACTCATGTGGCATTTTTACGATAATGAGTCAGGACATATAGTATGAGCTTTTACTACTCTTCATCACTTTCTCCTCATGTCCTTGTTGTGGGTGGCATCACTATCAGTCTAAGGGTGTTGTTGGGTTTGTTTTCTCAGTCAGTTGAAGAATTAAAAGGCAGGAAAAATCTCAGACCAGCAGAGAGCAACAGTAAAACTTTTATTGAAAGATAAAGAATCACATCCATACACATAAAGAATCACACATACATGCATACAATCATACAGAACATGAAGCTCTCTGCAAGTGGACAGGGGACCTGGAAAACGAAATCCAATGTCTCCTGGGGAGAATCTGGGTTTTAAGGGTTTCAGTGGTTTGCCCTTCCTTAATTTTGGATTGGTTGACTCAAAGAAGTGGGTACTGATAGGCTTATGGTTCCAAATGATGAGGTGTTCAGGTCTATGTGACTCTAAGCAGGTTAGTTGAAGGGGCCCTGTTGGAATTAAAAATAACGCCTTCTTTCCTGCCAGAGATCAGGAAGAAGCAGGAAGTGTGTTATCTTTATTGCTTCTCAGTGACTCTGTCAGGATCGCTTATACTCTACTACATCCTCAAATTTATAGTCTTTCTTATTGTTTTTCCCTTTTAATTTCTTTAGACCAACTATCATCTAAATACTGTTAATGTACATTATATATATATGATATTGTGATTTAGGAAATTTATGTTTGGTCTTTTTTGCCCTTGGTTTCTGACTCAGAGTTCCTAAATCCCTTAGAATGTCCTAGGTGATCAGACAGTCTTCTGTTCTAATGAAGTAACTCTTGGTGGACCTCTAGATGGGGGCTATTAACCAGAAAGACTAAACCATAATTAGAGGCTTGGGACTTTCCTTCATCCCCTATCCTCCAAGGAGAGGGACTGGATATTGAGTTAATAATTGATTATGTTATATGATAAAGTCATAATCAGCCCTAGAAGAAAAGGGTTAGTGAACACTTAGGAATGCTAGGAGGGAGCAGAGACACACTTTTGCACAGGAGCCCTCTGGGACCTCACCTGTGTACCTCTTCATCTGGTGGTTTACCTCTATCCTTGACTGTATCCTTTATTATATAAACATAAAAAAGTGTTTTTTCTGGAGCTGGAAAGATGGCTCAGTGGTTAAGAGCACTGGCTGCTCTTGCAGAGGACCCCTGTTTGATTTCCAGCACCCACATGGAGGCTAACAACAGCCCCTAACTACAATTCTAGGGAAATCCGATGTCCCCTTCTGACCTTCGCAGGCATTGCATGACACAGGTACACTTATACGCATGCAGATAATACACTTATACACATAAAGTAAAAATAAAAAAATAAAATATATTCAGACAAAACAAAACAAAACAAAACAAAAAAAACAAGTGTTTTCCTGGGCAAAACTGAGGCTTTAAAGGCTCATGGAATCTCTTGGTTTTTTGAGACATTCAAGAAATGACATTTCAAAATACGACACTTTGGTATGCTGACTACTCAGAACTAAGAATGCTTGAGAAACAGCGACCAGCATGGCAGTTAAAGACTTTCTCTGAGCATCTCTTATCAAGTTCCTCCAAAAGAAACCCAACTGTCATGAATGCCACCTGGGAATCTTACCAACTAGTGAAGATTAACTTAGATCACAACAGAGGAAACTGGAGGGTGACAACTGCCCAGACAGATGGTTACTTGTTCTTTTGAGAGCTACCCAGAGACAGCCTTTCAGACAGAACTTTTGTCTGTGTTGATGTAGAGCCTGATGGAATATTAAGGAAAATATGGATTTTAATCCTTGTTTTCTCTGTTTCTGTCAGCAAAGTTTAGCTGATAAGGTTATGGTTAGAATGCTAACACTGCTAGATAGAACCACTTGCTTTGTGTCCTGGTGAAACTTCCCCAGTTCTGTTTGTCACAGATTCTGCATTGGTTTTCAGACAGATGATTTTTTTAACATTAGTTTTTTTTTTCTAAATTTATAATAGTTGCCTAATTTAGAGACTAGTTGATTAATATATGTTTTTTTTCATTGTTAACCAGTGCCTAAGGTAATAAATGATATGTGCTACTTTCCTTCCAGGTTCAAATTTTGAGACGAGTTTGCTGGACCATGATGCAACCTAAATAAAATACCTGCTTCCCGTACACTGTTGGTGCCTGCCTGGTCTTTCCTGAAACAGTGTAACAAGACAATTTTTATTCACTGTTCCCCAAATGATACTGTTGTTGACATTGCTCCTACTCCAGAAGTCCAAGCTTCTATTTATTTCTGTAGCTCAGGATACCCCATAATATCAATCATCTGACCTTTCTTCAAGCCTCAGATTTTGTGGAACTAGTATGAATTTGTATGTCATTAAAAAACTTATTTATAGCTCAACCAAAGAAACTAGATGGATGATGGGAAGCCATTTTTTAAAATCTCTTTAATTTGTGACTAGAAGTTAGAAGTACTAGAGGCCTGGGCTGGTAATTGGCATCTGAAATGGAGCAATCTTGTGGGACTGAGCCCTTAAAATGTGGCATCTGATGTCATTCAACTCCACATTGATTGTTTCAGGGTTGAATTGCAGTGAAGGACACTGAGCTGGTATCCAGACAACTCAGAGAACTGCTGAGTATGGGGAAAATCTCTTCACAAATTTGGTAGGTAGAAGTATTGTGAGGGATGGGAAAGTTAACTGTGGTGTCATTTTCTGGTGTTTGTGTGTGTGTGTGTGTGTGTGTGTGTGTGTGTGCATGTACATGTCTTATAATTGTAAGTTTTTTTTTCTTTTTTAATCCAAAGGGAAAAAGCCCTTGCTAATCACATTCTTCAAGGGACTTAACCAGGTATGGCACCTGATACAAGGGCGAGACAACCCCAATCAGAAGTTAAGTTTCACAGGAGCCTCTTCTGTATTTCCAGGCTCTGAAACTCCAAAATGTCTCCTTTTTGCTTCCATTATGGAGACTGACTCTTGTTGCATGTGTGGACATTCATCAGGGGTGCACAAAATTGTCAACAACTTGTGGGGCCACCTTGGCAACAGAGCAGCAAGTGCTGCTACTTCATAATTTTGTACTGCCTTTGTGAAAGAGCTGCACCAGTGTGATTTAATTCTGCCAAGAAAAAGGTGCAGAGAGAACTCAGTGGAGACTCATTCTTCAGTAATATTTGCATTTTATAAGAAGCATACATATAAATTTCCCATTCTATAGTAATATGGTTTTAATCTTAATGAATGCCATTTTGGCGGTTCTCTTCAGAGAGTGGAATTAACATTCACATGTGAACAGGAAATGTTAAAGTGTTATTAGTCTCCTGAGGGTTTTGCTTCTGGTTTTGCAGCTTCAGAGATTTCATCATACTTTAGGTGTAGCAAAATATCACCATTTCTACTTAGAATGAAACTCTCCAAGGTTTCTGTATATTTCAGGCTAGAGTTTGATTTTTTTCAGAAGAGAAATGTTTTTTTCTGAATCCTGAAAATAACCAGGTGTAAAAAGTCAGTTGAAAAGCCCACAAAACTGTCATGAGTGTTATTAGGAAGCTTTTTTTTTTTTTAAATGACAACCTTCTTGTTATTAACACATTGTTTAATTAAGCCATGTAAGCTATTAATATGGTTCTGTGCAACTATACCATTTCTATTTGTGTATTTATCAATTAATTCCTTGCCTTATCCTACAAAGCCTCATTTTGTCCTGATTTTCTACTACCTTGTTGTCCCCCCCGCAACGTGTCATCAAGACGTTTGTATATAAGTCATATAGAGTGACCATTGACTTGAGATTGCTGTCTAATTTCTTGTTCTTGTTACTTTTCTTTCTTTTTAGTATGGAGTCCTTTCTCAATTATTCCCCAGGCCTTGAAAATTTTGCCTTATACTGAGATTCTTAAGTTAAAATAGGATAATATTCCAGGGTTTGGTTATCCAGTATTCAGTTCAAGGGGCATGAAACTTTTAGAGAATAGCTTCATGTATACACAAACATACTCACCACCACATATAAAAATTCGTACCCATCTTTGTCATGTAAAATTATTTTGATAGATGCTGGTGCTATTTTGCATTTAAACCTTAAGGCTTTTCTTCATGATAGTCTTTCATAACAAAGACAGTCAATAAGGAAATGTATCACAGGTATCCAAACACAGTTAAACAGAATGAATGAGTTCTGGTGTTCTTCAACACAATGGAGTAGCCATGCTTCACAACAACCTACATAATAGGTTAGATTCATACATATTATATGAAGATCTGGAGAAGAGCTTGAAGACTTCAAACATGAATTGATGAGAGAAATCATCCTGATTTTGTCAGTGTATGCTCTACGCATGTGTTGAAATATCACACTTGACCCATTAATATGTATAATTAATACGTTATTAAAATTCCTCCAAACATTAATAAATAAAGATAACCAAAACAAAAAATGTTTACTGAGGATCTTAACTGACCATATTCTCATTTTTTCACATCCTAGTCCTATGAAAAGTATGAAGGTCTGGAAGCTAAGATATGTGACCAGTGCCATACAGCTGCTTTCAAGTGACAAAGCTCAGATTTAACTCAGCCGTTATTTCTCTGAGGGCTCCACTGGACACAGCAGTCCCAACTATCTGCCTCAGACCTGGGGTGAATACAGAACTCTTTGCCTCAATACTGTGGTATCCAAATCAAATTTGCATTTTGAGGAAATTCCCAGGTGGCTTGTATGTACATAAAAGACTGGAAATATGGTTCTATTATTTATTTACTTATTTATTTATTTATTTGTTTATTTATATATGAGTGTATTGCCTGCATGTGTGCAAGTGCACCAGCATCATGCAATCCCTGTGGAGGTCAGAAAAGGGCATTGGATTCCCTGGAACTGGAGTTACAAATGGTTGTTAGCCAATGTGTGGGTGCTGGAATTTGAATCCAGTCTTCTGCAAGAACAGTCAGTAAGTACTCTTAACTGCTGAGCTATCTCTCCAGTTAAGGAAGTATGGTTCTTAAAAATAGTTTTAGATAGCTAACTATAAAGCTCTGTAAAGGTTCTCTTCCAAGGCTTTTTAGTGTCTGGGCTTTTCTGATGTTCACTTAAATTACACTGCATTCCACTATCTGTCAACTATTATGCTTCACATCTGGTTTCAGTCTTGTCTACCAAAGGTAGACTCGTGCTGGGTCCTACAGTGTTTGTTAGTGATATGTTTTGATGATATTACTGTCAGTTCAAATGGCCTTGTAGTCATAAGACAAGAAGGATTCATTCTTCCCTAACTTCTTCATCTCTACATGTATTGAGATCTTGTCACATTCCCTTCCAGACTTACTTTTGCTTGCTTAAGTCTTTTTATTTTTATTTTTTGTAACATTCTCTTTATGCCTTCCAAACATTAGAAGTTAGCTCTAGTGATAAAGTTCACTTAAAAGAGGCAATATAAAAAGAGAAAGTATATAGACAAATGCAAGGAGGGAAAACACTCATAGCATGTACAGGAAATAAATTAGTTGCTGCTGTTGAAAATGGAATTTAATTCTCATCCTTTGGCTCGTGAAGTCAAACGGAATATAAGAGGCTGCTGAGTGTTCAAACTAGGCTGAATAGAGTCCTTCATGTTCATTTAGACAGAAACATATTGTCCTGCCACTGAATGCCAAGAAAAATATTTTAAATATTTATTTGCCTGAAAGTTCATAAGGCAGCATAATAGTTTTGCAAAAAAGTTGTTAAAATATGCCTTTCTTTGCCTTTAATAAATGCTAAGGTCATTAGGGCATCACTTTGAAGTTAGATTTTGTGGAGCAGTTTTGGGGAGATTGAAAATAACATGCTGGAGTAGATATTTCTTGATGATCAAACAGTTGAACATTGACAAATGTGGCAGCCTTGTCTAAATGGATGATCAAATGGGTCCTGTAGAATGAGCCCCCCTTGTATATTAGATGTACCAGAAGTTGAGTTTTTAGCTAGTGTTAGATTTCCACAAATTTGAATTTTCAGAGAAGTATGCACACTAATAATATGTTCTAGTCCTGACTGGAGGAGGTTGGAGCACCAGACATGTTGGCAGGAAGGCAGGCATCCTACCGAGAAAAAGCATTTCTCTCTTCTAGGTGGGAACTCTCATGGCTGAAAATCTCTTCTGATTAGATAATGGAGGATGCCCATTGCTTTGAGGGTATATAGCTTAGTTTTCAATCTTGTTTTAAAAATGAAGCAAGTCTCTGGTATTTTTTCTAGAGCTGCTAAGGATGGTTATTAAAGAACATGGACACACACACATCACATACACACATGCTGAGAAAAGAGATTTTAAAAATGAAAAATCCAATCAACCATTTTTTAGGTCATTCAACATTAAACAATAGAAAATCCCAGTTTTCCTCTGGAGTCTCTGCCTAAGAGTAGAATGGTTATTGAACAGAGCATGAGTTCAGCTTTCAAGATGTTTGCTGACTGGGAAGAGAATAAATTCTCAACTATTATTTTGTAGAAATGAAGCTTTATGCATATTTATTAGCGATAAGGGCACAGGCATAAGAATTTGGTTGGTATTTTAGTCCAGAAAGCACTTGAAAATGCTTGTGAAGAATGCAGAATAGAGATCTTAGCAGACAGCCTGAGAGGGTGGGTTCCAACCACCATCTGTATGGTGGCTGGATCTCAGCAGGCTGCCAGAGAGTGCCTGTTCCCTCCTTCCTCTGGCATAGGGGCTGAGAACTCAGCAGACTGACTGAGAATCCCAAAATCAGGCCTCCCTTAGGGATCTTCCAAAATTTTGCTTTGAGTTACCATTAGTAAGGGTCCAAACCTTAGAAGGAAGCCCGAGTGTACTTGACTGGAACCTGACTTCAGCTTCTGTAGGTGCTCGTGAGTAGCTGATCTGAAGCCATCAGTTCCCCCCAAAATAAAACCTGAGACAACCTGAAACCTGTACCAACCAGCTTAATATAACCAACAGAAAAGGACCAAGGCACACCAATAATACAAACAGAAGCATACTTCAACTTAATTCTCATATCAGAATCACAAAAAGCAAAAGAAATTCACATGCCAAAATCACAACAGAAGAATAATAAAAGGGGCTGGGCATGGTGGTGCACACACCTTTAATCCCAGCACTCAGGAAGCAGAGGCAGGCAGATCTCTGTGAGTTCAAGGCCATTCTGGTGTACATAGTGAGACCCGGGCCAGCTGGGAATA